GGGAGCTCAGGAGGAGAGAAGGGTGCAGGCAGGCGCAGAGGCAGATGGACGGCACGTGGGGTCGTGGCGGCCTCTGGAAGTCGTCTTCTGCCTGCTTTTCTTCTCAAGGTCATTAGTTGACAATGAAGTTGGAGGAGGGGGCATTGGCAGTTTGGGGAGAGGAAGTGTGCAAACTCCCAGGACAGTGCAATGGTGAAGGGTCGAGGGAGCCGCAGAATGATTGCTGGGTTTCCATGCGAGATCAGGATCGTGCATTTAAAGTAAGATCAGCCAGCAAGGTTGTGTGTTCCTCCTGCTTCACCCCGCTGCCCTCGTGCAGGGGTGGGGTAGGAGGAGATGCTGGATCTAGCCAGCTTGTGGCTTAGTGAGGGGAGGGTGTCAAGGCAGTGGAGGGTACAGACAGGAGATGGTGATAACCACTGCCACAGAATTTGAGCCAGGCATGGAGGGAAGTGACACATGACAAGTGACGGACAGTAAAAAGCTGGTAGGACCTGCAGGTTGAAGGATCTCTGGGCTTCGAGAGTCCCTGGGGCTGGGATGTTAGATCCTTGGGACATGGAGGTCTGTGGGCAGAGTGTTGAAGCCTCGACTGTGGACGGGTTGTGGTGATGTTGAGATTTAATACTCTTTAAAAATAAACTCTGGGCAGGCCAAGAAAGCATACCTACATCTTGAACTTCGCCGGTTTTCTAGCTGTGTCTGTGGTGGCTTTGCCTATTCCAATGTCTCCATGTCCTCCAATCAAGGCTCCTGACTTCTGGGTCCACCTTTCTCACCTGCCTTTTCTCCCAGACTCCAGAGCTGCCTGTGCCCGCCCCGCTGGGTTCTGCAAACTTGTCACCTTCCCACAACCTGCTCTTGCCACTGTTATGTCCCAGGGGTGGCATCTTGGCTGCCCAAGGCAGAGCCTGGCTCCCACCACCACCCAAAGTCCATCCTGTGCCCAGTTCCTGCTTCCTCCCACATCTCTTCATTGGGTGATGACCGCGACATCCTCTGGCCCAGAGGTCTCACTGGTCTGTACTTAACGGGCTGCTGGAGTCACCTTTATACCACCCAAATTTGACCACATGACCTCCTTGCTTAAAACCTTTGAATGGTTCCTCCATGCCAGACTGCTTACCTGGGCACACAAGGCCTGGTTATTAGGCAGGGTTCTCCAGAGAAACAGAAGGAATAGGCTGTATATAGATGCAGAGAAAGTGAGTTATCAGGAGAGATCGGCTCGTGTGTTTATGGAGACAGAGAAGTCCCACAATCAGCAAGAAAGAGGCCCAGGAGAGCCAGTGGTGTAGTTTCACCTAAACCTGAAGGCCCGAGAGCCAGGAGAGCCAATGGCTTAAATTCCAGTCCAAGCCTGAGGGGCCAAGACCCAGCTGGGGTGCAGGGAGAGTCGATGTTCAAGGGCAGGAGAAGATGAACGGTCCAGCTCCAGCAGAGAGAGCAGCGTCCCCCTTCCTCTACCTTGTTCTACTCAGGCCTTCAACAGATCAGATAATGTCTACCCACATTGGTGAGGAGGATCTTCTTTCTTGAGTCTGCTGATTCCAGTGCTAATCCACATACCTAGAAAGCATGTTTTCTCAGCTATCTGGACATCCTTAGCCCAGGCAAGTTAACAGATTAAAATTAACCCTCACTGTCCCCACTTCCCACTCAACACCCAGGCCCTGCGAAGTCTACAGTCGCCTGGCTACCTCTGAACATGCTTCTCCCATATGAGGCTCGGCCGTTTCCTGATGGATGCTGTCTCATTCTCTATTTTGCACAGTTTCACAGTTAGTAGAAACTCAGTACATACAGAATCGATTGAAGAAAAGCATTGAACTTGAGGTTGGACACGGAATTTCAGCCCTCTGTGGCTTACTCAAGGCAATCCCCTTTCCGGGTCTCAGTTTCCTGGATTGTACAATGGGGCTGACTTCTGGCCTGCCTGTTGCACAGGGCAGTGATGAGGGTCAGGTGAAGGCTCAGGAAGTGTGAAAGTCATGTCCAGGTCTGTCTTAGGTTGGCCCAAGGGAACAGTCTCCGAGGTGGAGGGCTGAGTAGATGGCTTATTGGCGTCCACACAGGAGGGGGAGTGAGGGAAGAAGGGTTGGGTAGAGAAGTGGCTGAGCTGTGATGCAGTCATGACAGAGGCCCCAGCTGGTCCCATGGGAGGTCCATAGCCGGGGCGGCCCTAGAGTCAGTCCAAGTTGAGGCAGAGGGGCCGGATCTGTGTTCCTCCCCTCTGTCAGTAATTGAATAGGGGTTGCCTTTGGGCTCTGATCAAGGCAGCATCCTTAAGCTGAGAGCAGCTCCCAGAAAGAGTCTCAGCCACCAGCAGCCAACACTCCCAACAGCTAAACCTCTGGTCTCATCCTGGGAGCCTGGGCAGCCCACCACAGCAGCCACGAGCTGTGGAGCTCTATGGCTGTCAGCAAGCCCTAGAACCAGTAGCAGGTATCTGTGTTACACATTCAAAGTCTCTGCTTCTGCCTTGATGACCTGCCTTCCTGCCCCCCACGTTCCTGCCCCCTGTCCTCGCTCACGTCACTCCAGCCACACTCTGACCCTTCCTGTTCCTCAGATGCTCCATGCACACCCTGTCTCTGGGCCTTAGCCTCTGCTGTTCCCTCTGCCTGGAATGCACTTCCTCCAGATACCGCATGACTCATTTTCTTACCTTCCTCTGAGTCTCTGCTCAAATATTCCCTCAAAGAGAGACTTTCCATGACCCCCGGTTAAAAAACCACCTTCCATCACTCTCTGCCCTCTTGCCCTGTTTTGTTTTTCTCCCAGTACGTATTACTGCCTGTTACATATTTTTTGTCTTTCTGTTGATTTTCTCTTCCACAAGAAGTTATGGCCCTCTGGGGGTGCGTCCCATGGGGATGGACTGGGGGCTCCACCCACACTTGCCACAAGCTCTGTCTCTAGCCCAACGCTGTGATGGCAGCTTGCTCCGTGCTACTGCTGAGTGGTTACAACCTTTAGCCAAAATGGTGCCGACTCCACTGGTCTTGGCTTGTCAGTCACTGACTGGCTTTGTTCTTCAGCAGACCTGTGTCACGTGCCTTCTGGGTGCCAGGCCCCCAGGTGATTGGTGGGGAGGGAGGTGGAGGCAGATTCGTGCAGTCCCTTACAGGAAAGCAGCATTGGTGAGCCAGGCTCAGAGCTGGGCACCAGAGGGGCTATCACCAGACTTTGTCCTGGGGGCTCATTTGTTTGCCCAGCAGACACTGTGCCCGCCTGTAACTGGGCCTCAACACACATCCACTTAATGGTTACTCAGCCTCCCCTTTCTAAGTGAGGGTATCTGCTTTGGGGTGTTTCCCCTTTTCTGATCTGCCTTGACCTTGGCCCCCTGCTGCGCTCCGAGCCCCCCGCCCCATCCGGCATTGTGTTCACTCCCAGGCATCTGCACTCACCTTTCTCCAGCAGGCAGAGTGGGCATTGTGCCAGGAGGCCTGAGTTCACACCTCAGTTCCACCACATCCCAGCTGTGTGACCCTCAGCAAATCACTCCACTTGCTCTGAATCCTTGTGAAGCTTCCTGACTTTCCCTCCCCTCCCCCAAACCAGAGGTGATAGCACCCTTATGACACCTCCCACGTTATTTTCTTCACCTCTCTTGTGCCCACCCTGAGTGGCAAAATTGCACAGTAGTGAGGAAGCAGATAGCGCTGGCTGTCATCCTAATCGGTCAGCCTTGTCAGGGTGCGGACTGCAGTACATCGGGTGCAGTCAGCCCTGGCCAGCCAGACCACAGGCTTCATATGGCTAGATCTTTCCGTTAGTTTTTCAAGAGAAATTACAAATGCAGATTTGCACATGAAACCATCCACTTCAAAATATTAGCAACAAATTCAGTAATAGTAATAATTTAAAGATCACTGTGGGAACCAAATAAAATACATTGAAAGGCCTATTTGGCCTTGGGGCTCCCAGCTTCTAATGGCTGCATGAGCATCACAGAGTGCGGGCTTGAGTCCCAGCTCTGTTCCTTACTTCAGCCTTGACCTTGGCCAGGTGCAGCCTCCTCTCTGTACTTTAAGTCCCTCGCCTGTGAAATGAATATGGTAATAGCTAACATTTATTAAGAACTTCCTGGGTATCAGGTGCCTTTCTTTCTATGCATTAATCTTTCCAATCTCACAGTAATCCAATGGAGTGAGGACTGTTACTAGCCCAGGGTGTGGGAACTGTGTGTTAGCCCAGGCAGTCTGGCTCTAGAGGTATCCCTGTTAACGGCTAGTCTGGCCAACTTCGTTGCAAGGATCAAGTAAGAGTCCTTATGTAAGACCCTTGTCACATTGCTCTGTGCAGCAGAAGCCTGCAGAGTTGGCACGCAGGGGCATCCTGCACACATGGTCCTTATGCATGCTCTTCTCCACTTGCCACCGTGAACATGACAACTCCTTGAGGGTTGGGGGGTTCTATCTCTCTGATGCTCCCACCTCTCTGGCACCTTCCAGACTGGCTCAGTGATTTGAAGAGAAATGAGGAAGAGAATTGGTGGAGAAGTGCAGAGAGCCTTGCCAGCCCCCTACCCCTGCCCCCCCCACCCCACCTACAAATACTGGCTTTTTAAGGGATACCAAAGAACAGAAGGCACTGTCCCCGCCCAGGGGTCCATCAGGAGCCCAGTCCAAGGCAGGAAACAGTTAGCAGAGAGCTGAGAAAAGCATGTCATTGTGCACATGAGTGTGAGGGGCAGGAAGATGCGACTAGTTCATAGGGTCCTGTGGTTGGCGTTAATTTCTTTAAGAGTGCTCCAAAGACATCAGACACTGTGATTACCAGGATGGGCCGCCTTCTCTGCTTCTGATTACCCAGATGCCTGGTGGCCAGTGGAAGGCCATTAACCGCCTGTCTTTGGTCCAGGAAGAGTTCTGTCAGCACCCCCATGTGGCCCCTTCCCCCTCTTCCTGCCCTCCTTGTCAACCCGCAGCTGCTCTCCAGGGCTTGGTGTCTGCAAGCTCCTGGTGACTCCTCTTGTCTGTCTCCTTGTACAGAAATGGAAGCTCCACTCAAGGAGGCGCCGGGAGGCCCCAAAGACATCTCCAGGATGTAACTGCCCGCCAGGTAAGGAGCTGCAAACTTTGTTGCAAGGATCAACTGAGAGTCCTTATGTAAGACCCTTGTCACATTGCCCTGTGCAGCATAAGACTGCAGAGTTGACTAGGGTCAACTAGGTTCTTACTAGGGGCTTGGTAAGAGTGTGGGTATTCCTAGAACTGACACTAGAGGCTCTTCCTGGTGGCCACACTCTAGCCACACCTCACTCAAGCCATCACTTTTCATTTGAAAGATGCGAATGACGGTATCTGTGGTTGCTTTTCATCTACTCACTGATTGGCCTACCTGCCCCGCATCCATCAGACCATCCACCAATCATTTGTTCACAGAGTCTTTTATGGGCCTGATACTCTTTGAACCAGGTTGTGGTGAAGTCAGATAAGATGATGGTCATGGCTGTTTTGAAAGTTATCAAGTGCTATGCAGCGTCACAGGAACCATCGGCTCCCACAAGGGGAGGTACCTTGCTTGCTGTGTTCATCTTTGTGTCCCAGCTTCCCAGGTATCCAAAAATGTTTGTTACCCAAAAGATTGACCCATAATTGTAAGGCCTTCTTTTCTTTTCTTTTCTTTTCTTTTTTTTTTTTTTTTTTTTTTGAGACAGAGTTTCACTCTTGTTGCCCAAGCTGGAGTGCGATGGGGTGATGGTAGCTCACCGCAACCTCTGCCTCCCAGGTTCAAGTGATTCTCCTGCCTCAGCCACCTGAGTAGCTCGAATTACAGGCGTGCACCACCACACCCAGCTAATTTTGTATTTTTAGTAGAGACAGGGTTTCTCCATGTTAGTCAGGCTGGTCTTGAACTCCCGACCTCAGGTGATCTGCCAGCCTCAGTCTCCCAAAGTGCTGGGATTACAGGCATGAGCCACTGTGCCTGCCCAAGACCTTATTTTCTAGAGCTAGCTGGATTTGGGTGATGCGTGTTCACTCTATGGCCTCTAGGCTACCTGTGTGCACACACACACTTACATGCAAGGAATGAAGGCACAAGCCAAAGGTTTCAAGGTGATGCTGTGTAATGCAGTGAACTAGTCTAATCTAGAACAGAAATCTGCTTTGCCACTTACCAGCTGTGTATGGGTGGACCCCTGACCTGCCTATTCTAGCACCTTCCTCTGTATCCTAGGGCCGGCTCCTCAGTTGTGTCTCTTCCTCTGTGTAACAGCTACGTACTGAGGACCCGCTGGGCAGGTGTGTTCGGTTCAAGTGCATTGTCCGCTGTGAATGCAAATGATAAGTTACAGCTTATGAGACCTTTCCTAGGTGCCTGTTATTGTTCAGCCATGACAATGACAGATGAGAAAGTTTCAGTGTTTTCCTGAGGAACTAGAATGGGCTGTACGTCTTTAGGGGTGGGGAAGGAAGGTCTAAAAAAGGGGTGGGGGAGACAGGGTAGCACAGTTAAGTAATGGCAGAGTGTTTTGCTCTTCTACGGGCCTCTGCCAGTTCAGCAGGTGGCCTCCTCGATACCCATGGTGGCAGGTGGCACTGGCAGGGTGCTCACTGGGCTCTCTGGCAGGCCCTCCTCTGGCCCCAGAAGCTGAGGGGCCCAAGTAACCCTCACCCAGGTCCCCAAGCCAGGAAAGAGAGGCCGACAGATGTTACGCATATGGGAAATGAGGGACCGCATTTGCGGGAGAGTGAGTGGGCTGGGGTGGGAGTCTCAGTTCTGGGATGCTGCCCAGGGAGACAATGAGACCGTGAAAAGATTCAGCTGGACCTGGTGAGAAGAGGGTCGTCCGGGTTAATTAAAAGGGTGTCCAGAAGTCCTGGGAAGCTCCCTCCCTCCCTCTGGGCCCAGAAGATTGGGCCTTGGGGTCTGGGAAAGCTTTCGGGAGAAGAATGCCAAGATTAATGAGATGGGGTGGAGGTGAGGGTTGGGTGATGAGGCCTGGGCAGAGAGATGGTTTGCATCTCAAGGGTTTGTGGGGCAGCCCATGTTTCCAAGGACCGTATCTGCCGCTCTTATAACTCGTGAGCAATGACAACCGATTTTTGTTCAGCATATAGAATGCCGGTTAAGGGCAGGATATTTGGAGCCACAGAAGGTGTAGGTTCAAATTCCATCTCCAACATGGACCAGCCTTATGAACTTCAGAGAGTTATTTAACCTCCTTGTGCCTCAGCTACCTTGTCTGAAAAACAGGGACAATAGATGCCTTGCAGCTCTCTGGTAGAGATTCCATGAGATCATCCTGGAAACTGCTTAGCACCTTCTCTGATTCCTAGTAAGCACGATGATGATGATTTTCTCAACTGCCTCTCGCACTTCAAAGATGCACAGAAACCCTTATCGAATGTCATGTTCTAGTGTTGGGGGCACATTTGTGGCCAGGCAGAGCCTTGACTGTCTCCCTTCTCTGCAAGGGAGAGAGAAGATGTGCCTTCTATTGGGGAAGGCACGGCAGCTATCGGATAGCTTTCAAGTGTTCTATCCACCATGAGAGTAGGTGGCTGTCAGTAGGTTTCAATATTGTGCTTCAGAAAGTCTGGCTCAGGTAGTCCTGGGAGGCTGAGAGTCGGGGAGGTATGTGGCAGGAGGAGAAAGGACTTGGAAGCGGGCTTCTCTTCTCCCTGCCTGCCGGGAGTCTGTGTGGAACCCAGGAGTCCTGGGTAGTGAGGAGAAGACCATGAAGTAGCTCAGAGGGTCAGGGGAGGAGGAAGCACCATGGGGAGAAGAAAGGGCCTGACACTGTTCCTCTGTGGGGAGGAGGCAGCAGCAGGCACTGAGTTGGCCAGGCATGGAGGAAGAGTGAGCCGGGGCTCCTTGGAGGGATACCCCTGCATGTTGAGAATTTTTCGGAAGGCACTTTGGCCCAAAGCATAGATCAGAGCCACTGGGCAAGAGCCGAAGAATTTAAAGAGAAGGTCCCAAACTCGGGCAAAATCAGAGGGAACTAAGATGCTCTCCCAGCCTTTCGGAACTGATGCAGAGAAGGACTGGAATGGCTACACGGATGCATCTCACGTCATGAAATCACTGCGAAATACGTTTCCTAGGATGAGTTGGGTCCTGCTGGGTCCCCCGGCCTCTCTCTGACTCAGCTGAGGCTTCTCATGCCTTGGTACAGTGACCTCAACACTAAACACCACCTATTTTAAATAATAGCAGTTATTGCCACTGTGCCCTAGTTGAGCACCTACTATGTGCCAGGCACAGGATTGAGCACTTCACATGCCTCGGTAACCTCCCTCAAAATATTAAAAATAGGTAGAAGGGAGTTCAGTTCTAACACTCTGGAATATTTGAACATCCTTAGATTTGCAGAGAACATCACTTTCATTCTTGTCCTTACATCATGCATTTCCGATTATTTCTTGAGGATCGAAATTTATAAACCACTTTAAGGCTCCTGATCCTTGCAGATGGACTCATACAATTGTCAAGTGCCACACACACATTCAAAGCTTGATTCCCTCTTGTCTTGCCAGCCCCTGATACTGTACCCCATACGTAGTAGATGCTCCTGTGAATATTCAGTAAAAGCATCAGTAGTCATTGCTGATGACTGGCTTCTTCCTGGTGTTCTCCCTCTGCCATCTGATTGGTTTCAGACACCTTATCCCCCACCCCACCCCAGGTCTTGCCTGATCCTGAATTCACTGCTATTGGGACAAAACAAATACACACATTCTTCCTGCCCGCTGTGGTTGCTGAGATGGAAGCCTGGATCCTCAAACCCGTGCCTGCCCTCTGCGGCCAGCTAGACTGAGTCCTTTGGTGGGTGTGTTCTTCCTGTGGCAGTCTTGGGCCCCTGGGCGGCACCCAAAAGGCTTGGGACACATAATCATGGGCAGAAAATCTGCCTCTTTCCCTTTCTATCTGACCTTGCCAGCATCCTCCTGGGATCCTCCCTGTCCCAAAATAGCCATCTACTGGCTAAGATCTGGCTGCATCCTGCTTCTGGGCTGCATGCGCTATTTGCCAAGGGAGTGATGGGCTTGCAGGCTTGAGAAGGATGCCAAAGGTCAACCCTCAGTTAGGAGGGTCATGGCTGCCAGAAGTTCAGAGGAATAGGTGTGGGCCATTTGCAAAGCATATGGCCTGGTGGGACGGGAGAAGGGCCTTGGGAACAGATATACATACCATGAGACTTCCTGGGCCACGTGAGAAAAATACAAAGACTAGGGAAACTTCCCCATTCTCGGTCCCTTTTCTCATTAACAAATGGGGAGCAGGACATTATAGGTTCTAGCCAGCAAGGAAGCAGCTACTTCAGGCCCGCCACTCTGGGGCTGGGTGGGGTTGGCCTGTGTCAAGTCCAGGGCGGGGCAGGCCGTGTGAAGGATGACACATTTTTGCACCCAGAGGGAAGGATGGCCAGCTCGGCTGCTGGGGGAAATCGCTTCACTGTCTGAGCCTCATCTCCGAGGGAAAGGGTAGGCCAGAGTCATGCCCTGACTGCCAGGCCAAAGGGCTTGGACTGCAGCAGTGGTGGCAGGGGGGTGATGTGGTCAGGCTTGCACACTAGCGCCATGACCACACTGCAGAGAGGATGGATGAAAGCGGAGAAGTCACCTTCAGCCAGTCAAATGGGAGAGGGTACCCCGCCTGGCCTCTTTCTGACTCAGCTGAGGCTTCTTATGCCTTGGTATGGTAACCTCCTCAACATGAAACCCAACCTATTTTAAATAATAGCAGTTACTGCCACGGCGTCCTAATTGAGCTCCTACTATATGCCAGGCATGGGACTGAGCACTTCACGTGCATGGGTAACCTTCCTCAAAATACTAAAAATAAGTAGATGGGAGTTCAGTTCTAACCCTCTGGAATGTCTGAATACCCTCAGATTCCCAGCCGTCTTCTGGGTCAGTGAGTGGTGAGGGGGTGCATGTGAAGTACCCAGGAGCCAAAGGAGCTGGGGGCTCTGGGAAAACTTCACCAAGGAGTGGCCCTGGAGTTTGTTCCTAAGGAACAAAGAAGCAGGTAGGAAGGCATATCATTAGGGTGTCATGGACTCCATAGGGTGTCCACATAGACACCATCAAAAGAGACCTCCCAAATAC